CCGATGAAACTCAAATTGAAAATCTCCTAAAAAATCAAATATCTGTTACCACTTCAGTTATAAGAACTTTCAACACTACAATTCAAAAATTGCAAATAGACGAAGAAACCTTTAACAAAGACTTAAAAACTATCGAGACTACACTTCTGGACATTAATAATGACATCTCCTTTTACCAAGCACAATTACAAATACTAGATTTATGTGAGTCCTTAATGGAAAGTTACGTATTTTTAGAAAATTATTTAAATGATATACTAAATTCTATCACATTCTCTCGCCTGCAAATTCTACATAGTTCTATTATTTCGCCCATAGACTTATTGGACGCATTAAAAGAAATCTCACAGTCATTACAAAATAACTTATTGCCTCTACCCACTTATATGTCAAATATAGCTCAGTATATTGACATAATAAAACTACAAGCTTATCAGCTTGATTCAAAAATTGTTTTCGTTCTCGAAATTCCGTTAGTTGATCCCGAAATATTCACCTTGTATCAATTATATTCAATACCAATATTAGATAATCAAACTGGTTTTCATCATATACTTTCAACTGTTCATAAATACATTACGCGAGATGATGATTCAATTTCATATGTCTTACCCATGGACACCGAAAAATGCAAACAAATCAGTCAAAACCAAAGAATGTGTACAGACATTCTTCCGTACCCCATAGACACAGATGCTATATGTGAAGCCCAGCTTTTGAAACCTCTCAGCAACTTACCAAAAACTTGCCAGATGTCCATGCTCTTGGCACAAGGTTACAATGTCCAGGAAATCGACCGAAATTTATGGTTACTAACCATTTCCGATCTATTACCAGTAACGATCAAATGTGCAAGAAAAGAAGTCACTACACAAATAATCGAAACAAATTCAATCTTAAGATTAATTCCCGAATGTATTGCATCCATCGGCAGTACCAGAATTCATGCTAGAGACCAAATTGAGAAATATACAAATATCACGTATAGAAGTCACCCAGTTAACGTGCCCTACAGATGCTGTGACCATTTTGAGACAAAGAATCACCTGTCAAAATTGAAACCACTAAAACTCAGTAAGATCAACGTAGATGACTTAAATATTGCACAACACAAATTGGACCAATATTCAGAAGAACTGGACCATATTATGAGCCAATCATTCATTGAGGAACATCTACCCTTATTCACTATATCAACCTTATCCCTGATTATTATCCTAGTCATTCTATACCTTTTCTGCAAATACCGAATCAAAATATTCCCAAAAATTGCAATCTCCTTGTCCCAGGATCAGCCTCCAACTTCATTACCACGCAGAAATTCCATTAGACAGAAACTTCAAAGCTTAACCTCCTTCAGAAGAAGACCCAATGTCCAAGAAGAAAGCGAAGCAGAAACACCAATTACTCTGTAAAAGTCAAAGCAATGGCATTGACTTTTCACTAATAAGGGGAGCTGTTATATGAGAAAATATTAACCTTGAACTAGCTTAAGTTCGCCGACTTCAGATTTCATCATCTCGTTCCCATAGAAACAGCTGAGCACGCAGTAGAACTTTGCACGAACCGTTGGCCAATATTCATGGGAACAGCGATTCAGCACTTCATACCAAACCTATAAATTACCATTCTCAGATGCCGGAACCACTCTTAGCTGCAACTTCGACCAGTCCAGTTATTGTAGTCATTTTAAATTAATTTAAATTTGTACTATTATTTAATATATAATTTGTAACAAATAAAGTTCTTTTTTAAAAAGTCAAATACGTGATTAGTGATCTAACATATATATATATATATATATATATATATATATATATATATATATATATATATATATATATAATCTTTTCATTTCAATCTGTATTGGAGCTATAATAGAGCTGTAATAGAGCTATTTGTTCAATGTTGTATACCAGAAATTGTGTCATATTGAGGCGGTTCTTGTATGTTTTGGGCAGGCATTTCCATGGATGAGAAAACCGAGTTGGTTTTTGTGCCTAGTGGAGGAGGTTTAACGGCGGATCGTTACATCAGAGACATTTTGAAGGAACATGTGGTTCTATACGCGAGATTTATTACTGATGCCTTTATTTGAATGCAGGATAATGCACCATGTCATACCGCACTAGTCACCACCACATATCTGACTGAGATCGGTGGCCTACAGTAAATTTGCGGCGTTGAGCTTGGACATAAATTCAATAGAGCATGTTTCGGATAAGCTTAAGGCTGTTTTAGCAGTCAAAACACACTGCGATTTGAAATGGGCGTATCACTTACTTTTCTACACTGCTTGCCAGCCGACGACGCGTACAGCTGTTTTCGCAGTGGCGCCGGCCGGCGGGTGGTTTAATGACAACAAATGCATTATTCTCCATTCAAATTACTTTTGTCGGGAATACCTTTTTTGTTTGATTATTATCGTAGATGTTTTAAAAATAATTATCACATTTTTAATTAATATGTCTTAACTAAATATAGTATTGAATAAAAATTTGTGAAACGTGACTGCAAAAAACAACATGGTGTTTACTTATAATAAATTTAAAATAACATAAAAATATTATTATCAAAAAAAATACAATTTCTTGTCACAAACAAATAAACAATTTCGCAGTTATAGCTTGAAAATGATTTCAAATCAAACTAACTAACCGTACGTTCATGAGATTTGACGTCACGCAGCCGATAACGGTGAAACTAAATGCCAATGATGAGTAACACGTTTCACTATTAGAATTCCGTATTTTTAGCAATTTTCTTTAAAATTTGAACACGCTTTTCTCGATTATTACTGGACATAAAAGGTGAAAAAAAATCAACGATTACAGAAAAAAAACTCAAGTGATGGGCGTAAAAAGTTTAATTATAATAGAACGTTAACCTGCATAATCCGATATTTCAAAAGAACTTTAAAAAAAAATTAAAAAAGTAAAACCATCAGTTTAAAGGCAACATCATTTTGAATAACGTGTCCAAATTTCAAGACATTTTGTCGGTAAATAACAGAGAAAACACTGTATCTAGGTTTTGGTGTACCGATAAAACAGCCTTAAACGAAGGATCCGGGACAGAAATCATGCACCAAGGAGCATAATGAAATTGAGAGTTGCGCTTAATGATGAATGGGAAGCAATACCTCAAGAATTTATTAGAAAAGTCATCCGATCCATGAGAAATCGATTGGAAAGTGTATGATGATGATGAATGATGAATATTTAGGAAACTGTTCGTATTCCATATTGTTTTTAAAATGCTTCTTTCAAATAATGCAATAGCAGTTTTTGTAAGTTCAATAATAAAGTTATTGTTTGCACATTACATCTTTATATTTTTATACTTTTTTGAAACAGAAGGTGTAATCTCAAATATCGCTTTTGAGTCCATTGTTTTGTACTCAAGTGTATATATATATATATATAATATATATATATATATATATATATATATATATATAATATATATATATATATATATATATATATATATATATATATATATAAAGTGAAAAATAATGGCATGTCTCGCAAAACAGAAAACCAAAAATGGTATATCGATGGAAGGCAACCGTATATACGTATTTCTGACTATTGGTCGTCTTCAATACGGTGTAGTTAAGTTAGAAAAGGAGCATATTAACTTGGGAAAGGATCACTACAGGAGCAATGCAACCAATTTGTGGCATTAGAGTTAGAAGACCCTGATGGTTTCCAAGGCAAAAACTAACACCAACCACAGAGGAAATCGGAATCGATATATGTATATATAAGTGATTGCAGAATTAAAAACCATCTTGTGCTTTGGCAGAGCATGTAATCGACAAAGACCATATTATGGATTTGGATAACAATAAAATTTTGTGTAGTGAAAGTAATAAATTCAAAAGGACTTTTTTGGAAATGGTTTCTATTAGCAAAAGTGATAATAATTTAAACAAAAGATCAGAAATTCCAAATCTAAGCAAAATTTATAATTATATTATTTCTTTGTAGTTTATATATGAAACCAGTAAAATATCACATTTTGATTTAATTTTCCATATATTTGTTAAATTTTTTCAGGCATCTATCAATGGTGAATAAATCTTCTTCTTTTTTGTTACTAAACAAAAAATAATTTTTAAACAAAATTTTATTTTTGGCAATATAATTGTCAAAAATAAAAATTTTAAGTTGGCATTTATGACATTGAGGCTTAATTATAATTGTTTCTAACTTATTTATAAATTCAATTTTTTTGTGTTAAGAAACTTTTTCAAAATTATATTAAAATTTCAGAGAAACTTTTATTAGATAAAAACATTTTTATAGTAATATTTTTTTGAAATGTGTAAAAGCAGCAATTTTATTAAAAAAACTAATTTTATTTAGCGAGTCAACAATTATATTTTTTTTTTCTTTCTAGTTCAACTTTGTAAGATATTTTGTATTTTTTAGCAGCTCTTGATAATAATTGTAAACACAATTGAAAGCTCGAGTAAAAAATAGTTAACCAATAGCCCCTTTTATTGACTTCAACCCAAACAATATATATATATATATATATATATATATATATATATATATATATATATATATACATACATTTTCTGTATAAATTTTCATTTCAATATTTCATTTTACTTTATTAAGAAACACGCATGAGACTGCGTTAACTACTCCACGTAGTATGTGGTCGCGCGTTCTGCATCCATAGCCCGTTATAAGAAAGCTATGCTTCCAATGATTGGACAAGCAAAAGTTATAATTAAATGAATAACTGTGAATTTAATTCCCGATTCTATATGTTGCCCTCCTAACTAATTGATTTTACATCATTGGAGAATTACTTAAAAAGATAATTACTTAAAATGATAATCTCAAAAATATTCTTTTTTCATAACGAAAAAAGTACCACGTGTAAGTAAAAAGTAATTTAAGATTAAAATATATAAAAAGGAAACATGATAAAGGCAAGACTCCTAAACTGTATAGGTTACATTGGTTTTTTTGTCGTAGGATTCAATGATAGTAAATTTGTTAGCAGTAACCAATTTGATGCACAAAAGTTTAGTTTTGACACTAGAAAAAAAAATAATGTAAGTAAAATTAACAACTATACCCAATATTTATTTACCAAAATTATATTTTAACCAAAGCAGCTACCTTTTGGACAAACATCGTCTACATCTACTTTTGGTGGACGTACTACCAGTTTTAGGATAAATCCAATCAATTCTAGCCGTATTAAACCAAATACATCCGATTGTACTACCGACAAACCTATAAAGCTTTGTACTGGTGAGTACTTAAAAATTTTTATTTACAATATTTATTCCTACATTCTTTAGATGAGGAATCTGTAAGTTTAATGTCTGAATCCAGTCATGGGAAGTTTCAAGATTTGTTTAATAATACTAGTATACATCCAATAGAAGCTTTTGGAAGTAATAACGACACAGTAAATGAATCCATTGTTAAACCTCAACTTCCCGAATGGTTGTAAGTATAGAAAATCTATATTTTTTAACTAACAAGAGTTATTATCAACTTCACACCTCCCAAACATACAAGCACACGCACACGCACACACACACACACACACACACACACACACACACACACATACACACACACACACACACACACACACACACACACACACACACACACACACACACACACACACACACACACACACACACACACACACACACACACACACACACACACACCACATAATGCAATTGAGCAATCATCAACAAAATTAAGTTATTTTAGTTTAGTAACTCACAACAACGTTAGGGATGTACTTCTCTGTCGTCCGATCTCATGTTTCATTACATAAAGCCGATTTTAATAGTAGGAAATTCGATAAAAATGCACTGAAATAATCGGTGCATTGTTATCGATTTTTATTAATGTGAAATGTTTTTTGTGGTTGAATTAAAAATAAAAGCGTATTTCTTTAAAAAGATAAAATAAAAAAATATACTCTTATTGAAAATTAAAATATTATTCCTAATAAAATAAAAAATAATTCTTTATGACCTACAGAAATGGTTCAAATAGTTGACCTTCTACGGCTGAACAGTACCCCAATCTGTCATAAAAACTTCTGCGAACAGATGAAAGAGTTTCTGCTGTAACAGAATTGGAGACTTCTCTTATTCGATTTTTCAATTCATCCAAATTTTGGGCTCTAGCCTCAGGATGAGCGTAGATAATGCTTTTTAAATGTCCCCAAAAAAGAAGTCCATGGGTGTAAGATCTGGAGATCGCGCAGGCCACTTAATATCGCCTGTTCCACTGATAACTCGATTCGGGAAAGTATTGTTTAAATACTCCCTAATAATTCGAGCGTTGTGAACCAAACATTCTCCAGATTTACATCAGGAAGATTGAGAATAGCGAGAAGAACATGATTCTGTAACAAATCGAGGTATACTCTACTATTCAAGTTGCCCTCAATAAAAAATGGACCTATTATGTGGTCTCCTAAAATGCCAGTCCAGACGTTAACTTTTTGAGGACGTTGAGGTCGGTAAACAACACTTCTGTGCTGGTTTTCCCGCGCCCAATACCTCGTAATGGAAGGATTGTGTCTCCCTACTAACGAAACAGAAGATTCATCAGTGAATAAAATGTTTTTAATAAAATTTGGTTCACTATTAGCCTTCGTTATTAGAGTTTCACAAAACTCCATTCTTCGAAAGTAATCGTCTGGATAAAGCTGCTGCGTTTTTGAATATTTAAAATTCTTGTAATCGTGCTTTTTCCATACTTTCGTTACAGTAACATTGCTAACATCTAACTCTCTAGCAACGCTTCTACTTGAACGTGTTGAATCTACCTCGATTGTTGCACAAATTTGTGTATCCCGGTATTCTCTTTCCTCAACTTTTTCTGGTAACACTTCTCGAGCGTGACATTTTCTGCAATTTTTGAGACAATAACAACTCTCAAAATTTTTAACAATATTATAAATTGACTGTACACAAGGAATTGGTCTTCCCTCAAAAACACAGAAAATAAATCTACACACTGTTGCGCAGAATTGCCACTATAAAACCATTTTATTATTTGAGCTTTTTCCGCGGCCATATAAACAGACATGTTTACAAAAATAAATTAAAACTCTACGCTGTTATACCTTTAAACAATCACGGTATAATGACAATATGACAAATTTGCCGACGGGCGACGAGCAAGTCGACGACGCGCAGTGTTGCAATTTATAGAGTGTATACCTAATCCAAAACGCACTGTATAATATAATAATGTATTTAATATATATATATATATATATATATATATATATTATATATATATATATATATTAAATATGTGTGGTGAATAGTATGTAAGGTGAATCCATATTCTTAGTGTAGTAAAAATTTCTAATTTTATTTGTTACTTTACCATCATAAATATGACCATAAAATTTGTGAATTTTTTTTATTAACTCTATTTCAAAATCTTTGGATATTTTTTTTCACTCTTCTTTGTTTCAAATTGTTCAGGAGGAAGAAAAAACTTATGACCAGCTTATTTTCTATTTATTTATTTTTTAAATATTTTATATAAATTGGTCGGTTGTAGATGATCACATCCTTGACTGTGTTTTCACTTTTGATCAATAATTAGTTTTTGAAAAAAATATATTAAATTTTGGATCTACCTGGTTTTACTTTAGTAATGTATCTTGTTTTGAAACAAACTGTAGCTGATTTATATAGATTTGAAACTAAGTATCAAGAAAAGAAGTTTTTTGCAAAGTTTGAGCTATTTATAATATTAAATTATTATATTAAAGTATTAATTAAAAAAAAATAAAAAAAAAGTGCAATTTATATATTTTTTATTGAAATGTAACAAAATCGAGTGGTCAGATTACTAGGCCGTCTTCTTCAGTGAGATGCAGGGAAATATCGTAATCAATTTGTTTGTCTTCAGCTGCCAACTAATCACCTTCTACGATCCTTTTGTAATATTCAAGAGTTTCTAAAGACCTCCAATTTTTCCCGAAATGGTTTTCCAGTAACTTCCGCACATCTGTGGCTTTTAGCTCGGAGACTGTCCCTGTTTTTGTAGCAATGAGCTGAGGATCATTTATACCTTGAAAATGATTTCCCTTCTTACAAAATTCCTTGTATTGGCAAAAATCTGATCTGTAGTTAACCTGTAACCTGGTGAGGTCGCACCACGTCGAAGTTTGATTTCCAATCATAGTTTAAGCTATACAGTGGAATTACAATTTCCTAGTGAGAAAAAACTTCAACGTATTCAGTTGGTTCAATGATCACTGGTTTTCTTTTGATCTCCTCGATTCTACCAAATACCCGATCGGATTGGAGAAAGGGACGGCCCACTATAGGAAATACAAACTCGGCTCTTTCCACAGTTGCAGGAGCTTTTTTCAACAGCCAAAACGCTGCCGTACTCATCATAAAATAATTTTTATTTTGCTCTCCACACCCGTCGGGGGCAAGGCGAATAGTTTTCACAGTTTCAGGAATGTTCAATTTCATTAGGCAATCAAAAACAGCAGATGCTATTTCATTTGCCCTTTTTTCGTGTTGGTCTTCCAGTCTATCCAGTAGTATATCAATACATTTTCTTTGGTTTGGTTGCATTTTGAGTCACCAACTACAATGGTTAAATTGTAGATGTATAGTTGTTTTGAGTAATAAGCGCTTTGGTCTGGCACTTTGGGTAGAACTTGATTTTTTTAACAATCGAAGGATACCGTCAATAAGTCGTCCTGTTTTTCTTTTAGAAGCTGATAGAAAGCCTTTGTTTTGAACTTTTGCAGTGTCTTTAGCGCCATCAAGTTTGTTTTGATTAGTACGTCATCACAATGCTTAATTCTTTCTAACTACTAACTAAAAAAATTACTTCTTCTTACTAACTAAAAAATCAATATTTCGACATACAAGGAAATGAGATCTCTCCATTGTAGTGGTATTTATAAATTGACGTAAGTTAAAAAATTAAAATCTTCACCAATTAGTACTTATAAAAACATTTTATTGTAGCATAGCTCCGATGATGGCTTTGTAAAGCCGAAAGCGCTCAGCTAGGAATTATTTAAAATATACACACTTCAAAAATACTTTTTTACCTTTTCTTTTGACAAAGTTTTCAAAGAAAATAAAAAGTAGAGTCTTCAATAGCTTTACCTTTGCCTCTTTTCTCGTGCTCTTTTCCAACGTTCAGGTTCTTTTCTCTTCTTCCTGACCGAGTCAGGACTCTCTACGGGTTGAGTTTCAATCAAAGAACCGAACCAAAGGGTGAGTTTGTGTCTTCTATTAAATTTACTTTTACCAATAATTGTCCTATTTAAAATTCTATTTCTTTTTGGTCCTTTATTAAGCATCTATAAGGCTTCTTTGCAACAAATTTTTCATTTGTGTTTCACTATTTTGAACCTGCCCAATGTCAAATTTATGTTTCGCAGAAATATTGTCATTATTTCTATTTTATTTCTCTGATCTGATAATAAAGTTCTAATTTTGCTTCGAAAAGCACTGTGGAAATTATCTTATTAAAGTTTATTGAGTATTATGTGATTTTAATATTATTATTAAATTTTTAAATCTTTTGTTCAATATTTGCATCCGTCTTTGACAAACTTCTAAATCAAAATCTTGTTTCGTTGGAAATTCAAAATAGAATCAGAACCACAGTTTTTCTATTAATAAAAAATGGAGAGAATAAGAAACAGGAAGCCAAAACGATACTAAATTTAGGTATGTAAAAATAAAATTAATATTTTGTAATATCTCTATCAGCATTGATAACAGCTTGTAGTCTTCGGTCCATCTGCGTGAAAGGAACTTTGAAATTGTCTTCTTCAGAGAGCTCTTCCCAAACCTGTTGTATACCGTGCCACAGCGCATCTACCTGTATTTTGAGGTATAAAATTACGCCGATACAACCGTTTTAAAATAACCCCCCACACATTCTCGATGGGATTTAAATCTGGATTGTAGCTGGGCCATGGTAAAGTTTCGATGTTGTTATTCTGGAGCCACTGGTTTACTATATTGGCAGTGTGAACAGGACAGTTATCCTGTTGGAGGATAAAATTACTTCCTGGGTACAACTGTTCTACACTGAGAAACGTAGGAAACTGTTCTATTCAGATAAGTCTGCCCAACAAACCTGCCATCAATACGCCATACCATTCCCATTCCTCTAGATGAAATCCATTCCCAAACATTGGCACTAAAATGACCAGCTGCTCGATATCTATCAACATATAGATGATTAAGTCTTTGATTATCTGGTCTATACACTCCAATTTTCCCATTTTTAGAAGATTGAAAAATTCTCTCATTTTAATCTTAATAAAATCTTAATTTTGTAGCTGATGGTTTAAAGCAAATATAAGTCTTGATTGCTTCTGTTGTGGTGTAAGAGCTTTTTTTGCTGCAGTTCGGTACCTAAGACGCGATGCTTTCCTTCTGCGCCAAGTTGTTTTGTTTCTTCTTGCAGTCTTCGCATCTTCAAATTATTAATATTAAAAATTGTTGTTCTGCTTACGTTAAAATGGTTCGCTACGGAAGAGAGTGACCAATCATCTTCTAATTTCGGTAGAATTCTTGCTTTTAGTTCGTTGCTAGCACTTGGAGCCATTTTTTGAGGTTGAACAGAATAAGTTATCTGACAGATTTGAAGATTTGCAGTGACAATATACAACTAATAAGTATTTATCCTTCAAAATTCACTGCTCAATTTTCTACAAAACACGCTATAAGAGTCGTCAGTTTTTTATAGAAACCTGCTCTACAACGCACTCTGTGAAAATAAACATGGTTTTATTACTGACTCAATATCAGAAAGTAAATGTGGAACTCTTAACATCTGATTTAGAAGGCATACAGAAAATTTAGGTCCCAGTGCTACAAGTTTTTTTAATTCAATAGAAAAATCAATAGAAGTTAGATTTTTAAACCATTTTTTCCGAAATTGTGTCTTATACAAAGCTTTTAGTTTTAATTTATTAAACTTTTTTTGTATCCTTTTGTTTTTCAAAAAAGTAAATCAGCAAAAGTGATGTTAATTTCCAAATTAATAATATTTTTTTCAAAACCTGTCACATAATCTCCCATCATCATGGTCAAAACGAAAGGATAAACTTTTATTAGATCGAAAAAAATTTAATTCAAATAATGTTTTTTAAATTCGTTTTGCAGCAGTAATATTAGCTAACCTAATTTTATTTGGTGAGTTACTACTTTTTTGCAATTTTATTTGTTCCACTTAATCAGATAGTTTTTATTGTAGCTATCGAAAATAATTGTAACTACAATTGAAAGCTTGAGTAATTAAAAAACAATTTTCTAACAGCCCCTTTTATCGACTCCAACTCACGCAAACTTAGTTTTGTTTTTTCCAAACGGTTCAAAAAGTACTTATTTTTTCTTATACAGATATATATATATATATATATATATATATATATATATATATATATATATATACATATACATATATATACATATATATACATATACAAGTATAAATATATATATATATATATATATATATATATATATATATATATATATATATATTGAGATAATAATAAATATAGAAGAAATTAGCATAATAGTATTATGATTTTTAATTAATAAACTTAAATAGTGATTAAAGAAATAATTTGTAAGTTATATACTAGAAAATATTATAAAAAAATATTTATATGAGAGTATTTTTAAGAATTTAGCATAATAAGGTTTTTTTTTATTTTATAATAAATATATTTAAGTGAGCCATGTGCATAGGCAACCAAATATACACTGAATAAGTTACAGTTGAGTGATTACGGATGTGAAATGGGGTTATTTATTAATTTAAGATGTTTAATTTGAATAATAATTACGGATGTAAAATATTGTTATGTATCAATTTAAGATGTTTAGTTTATATATGTGTATATTCTGATCTGAAAAGCCTAAATGTCCATGAAATTCTCGATAGAAGCGTAAAGAATTCTCTAGAAAACGTCAATATAAAGAAATTAACCTTATTTGCGGAGTAGAATATTCGAGAGCATTCAGATGTTGATGAAATAGAACCATTTCAAACATGATTTATTGCTAGAATATTCGGCAACGATGAAAAGATATAAATAAGATATAATTTGGAGCAAGGATTCATTATTACAACTTGTTGTTCGAAAAAGAACAACTCTATATTTAATTAGAAAATATGAAAATTAACAAGAAGTGTTCGGTTTTTGATTTGGTGTGTCGCTTGTCATAATAATCGATTCGAATCGATGAGCGTTTCGATAATAATTTTTAATTTTGATTATTTCGGACATTGTACAGTTTGGTGGTACAATTATAGAAGTGGACAATAATTTCTGTACAATGCTAGGATTGTCCAATTTCGGGCTTTGCTCGTAACCTATGTTTATATATATATATATATATATATATATATATATATATATATATATATATATATATATATATATATAATTTGAGTTTGGTTCTTGCATTTAAAATTTATTTTAGTAGAATTTTTTGGGGGCTTTGGTTCATAAAAAAGGTTGTCTGATACTATGACATTTTTATTCACTTTTTTTCAATGTTTCGGCAGGATATCCACCCACATCAAAAAATGTTATTGACTAAAAGGAACTTTATAAAAAGACATAAGATTTAAAAAAAATCTTTGACTTACCAAGGATGTAAAAAGTTGGTTGCGAATAAGTGTACAATTAAACGTCACAATTAAAATAATAGTAAAAAAATAGGACAGACTCACTAAGTCACTGCATGTAAAATGTATTTTAAATTTAAAATGTTGTTTCTGATGTTAGCTTTATCATTTAAACGATCAATTGTTTTTACGTCATAGGCATTTTGAAATTATTCTTTTGTATTTTTAAATTAAATTGAAAGATATCTTGTTTAAGATGTTGACATCTTAAACAAGACATCTTTATCATTAATTGCATTTTTTTATTTCTATAGACTCTAGGAGCTCCCTCTTTTTTGTTACGATCGCTTTTTAGGATCTTAGTTTCGTAAAAATCACATTTATGTTTCTTTTCGTTTTCATGATTTGTGAGGGCTGTTATGTTTTTTTTTGTCATATTTGTTAAAAACGAATTCTTTAGTTAAGTAGCTAAATGGTTTGTCCAATATATACCTCATCACAATTTGATCAGGGAATTTCATAGACAAGATGCGATTTTTTGTAATTGGGGGGGTTTTCCTTTTTAGTTTATAAAATTATTTTTCAAAAGATTGTACCATTTATGAGCAACTGTAATGTTATGTTTAGAGAGGAGATTTGCAAGTGATTTTGATAACGTTTTTATATAGGGAAGAAACATCTTGTATTTTTTCTTTACCTTGGTATTTTTGTTGTTATTCTCTTTGTTGTAAATTGTATGTAGTTGCGACCTGTTTTCGATAAGGTGATATGTGCATGAATTAAGTGTTATTACTGTTTTTATTCGTCGAGATATTTGAATTTCAACTCTCATCATCTCATGTCCCAAAAGAAATCAGTAGTTATCGACCTCGTTGACCGCACTATCAAAATTATCCAACTTTATCAATAGACTTTAGGCCATAAACAAAGCAAAAACAGCAATAACACTTAATTCATGCCCACATCACTTTATCGAGAATACGTCGCGACTACATACATTTTACAATAACAAGAATAATAATAAAAATATCAAAGTAAAGAAAAACTATGTTTCTTGCCTATATAAAAGCGTTATCAGAACAACTTGCAAATCTCCTGTCTAAACATAACAAAGGTACAATCTTTTAAAAAAGAATTTTACAACATTAAAAATGAAAACCTCTCAATTAAAAAAAATCGCTGTAGTACATACAATTCTCTACTCAAATTGAGATGGGGTATATATTGAACAAACCAGTCAGCTACTCAACTTAAGAATACGTTCTCACAGATATGACAAAAAACTCAACTACCCTCACAAAACATGAAAACGAAAAGAAACATAAATTTTGATTTTGACAGAACTAAGATTCTAAAAAGTGAACATAACCGAAACAAGTGGGACCTCCTAGAGTCTATAGAAACTGAAAAAATAACGGGATGTGGTACTATGGGAGTGACCGAGGATGGAAAGCATATATTTCCTATCGTCTTCTCACACAGTGATGTTTTTTAATTCAATTCAATTTAATTTCATTCAATTCGACTCAATTTGATTCTATTCTGATTCTATCTGATTTTTTTCGGTTTAATTTGATTCCAGTCGAATGCATTCCATACGATCCGATCCGGGTCGATTCGATTAGAGTCGACTCCATTTGATTCGATGTCATTCGATTCGATTCCATTCGATTCGAGTCGAGTCGATTCCGTTCTACTCAATTCTATTCGATTCGATTTTATTCTATTCGATCCCTTTCAATTTCATTCGATTCCATTCGATTCGATTGAATTCGATTTGATTCAATTCGATTTTATTCAATTCGATTCCTTTCGATTCGATTCGTAGTGTGTGGTCTCACGATTTACTTTTCATTGTATGTCCTTTTGTTTGTATTTTATTATACCTCTGTGCGATCCATTTCACCGATCAATGCATGCCATCCATAGCCCGTGGTAAGAAAGCAAAAATTTAAACAAGATATATTTTAATTTAATTTAAAAAATACAAAAGAGTAATTTCAGAACGTCCATGATGATCATTATTTGTGTAGATCCGGTCTTGATGTCGCCTTAGCTTACTTTTTTATTGAATATTTTAATTTTATCCGCAAAGGTTTCCGTTTCTATGGCGTAGACCGTCGTTTTATGACAGTTTTGAATTGTTTGATTGAGATGGATTTCATGAAGGAAAGGAAGATATATAGTAAGCCAACTGGAACTAGTATACATGGTTTACAACAGATGATTTTCATGGAAAAAAGTCTAATTTGGTCGAATTGCATTATAGTACAAATGTGTAAATTGTTAGTATAAGTTAAAATTCGTTGTCAAGTTCTTTAACACTCTCGTATCGGCTTATTTTTTTGTTTAGTTTTATGTATAAGTGTGAGGTCAATTTTAAAACGTAAAAACTTAATTTTCTAAAAATTAATAATTTGCATTTAATTTGATTCTAGATCCTATACCGATGTCTTAGTCACTTCCATTGATTTACCAACAGAGAGCTTATCCCGATTTTTATGTATTCAATGCCACAAAGTCCTTTCCAGATTTCCAGTTTTTTGTTCCGCAGGAGGATTTATTTGCGGTCGGTGTCCATATCCAAAAAATTGTGTAAGAAATGACATTTATGAATTACTGGCCCAAAAATTAAAATTTCCTTGCTGTTACAAAGAACATGGATGTTCAGAGAATTTGTTTCCGAAACAGGTGGAACAGCACGAAAGTACATGTAAATTTAAAAAATATCTCTGTCCCATGAACTTAACCCCAGCTTGTGAATGGAAAGGCTTTTCTACCGAACTATTAGACCACTATTCTCAGTGTCACCAAATGTTTATTATGCAGAATACAGAACTATTTGGGGTGACTTTTTTTTCTACCAAGGACGAAAATTTTCTTTTATCACATAAGGACAACTTATATTTAATTAATCGTCTAACAGAGAAGAAAACATTTTCTTGTACAGTTTCTTACATATGTCATGATTCAAATAAAGGAGACAGTTATTATTACAAACTAATCTTTGAAAATAAAAATAAGCCTTGTTATGAAATTCAGAATCCAATAAATGTAACCACACGAGTTAAACTTGAAGATTTAGTTCAATCCAATTCAATAAACAATTTTAATATGGGCTTTGGTAAAATTGAAATTTTCAAAGGTGAAAAAATGTCTAAGAAGCATAAGAAAGGAGAAGAATCGAACACTAATGTAGATTATGATATATTGGAAGAATTGGAATGCATGGTGAGTTTCTTTTTTTCCTTATATCTACTAATATGTTTTGTTTTGTATATTAATTTTAAATTAATCTTCGTAATTGTAAATTGTCTCTGCTTGGTACCAGCTCTAGTCTAGATAAACAAACGTGTTTTAATTCGCTCCGTAATATCACCCGAAACTATATAAATAGGGCTATTATGAGTTGGATTTTAACTTGGTTTTATGTATAGTTGTATAGTTCTATATTGTATATACTGGTTCATAGTATGTGTAGATGCAAATATTAAAAATTGTTAAAATTTGTAAATAATAGAGGTGGCAACCAAATTTTCAGCGGTTCCAAAAGAACTGTGAAGAGTGACGAGAATTACAATACCGGATCCAATAAGAGATATTGTCGCTACGAAATACAGGTAAAAGTTGGTAGGCATTGTTCTGTCTGAACCGTTGCAGTGAAGGACAGTGCTTGGCGCCAACTGATTGTGGAAATAGTTCGCGTACTTATAATAGTTGCAATTTTTGTAGAGATCCTGACGCTGACACTTATTATTTTATGTTAGGGATAACGATAACAACTGATACCAGAGAACAAAAATAAAAGTAGAGTACACAATAACAAGAATAAACCAGTACTAGTAACACAAGAAGACAGGGAAATATGAGAGAAATGTTGAAAGAGAATTAAATTTAATGCAATTTGAGGGGCACATAAATGAAGATTTGATGAAAGTTGCAGATATAATGGAAAATTCATCAAAACAGTGGAATAAGTTCACAGATATAAATAATAAAGATTGGTTTTATGACGATTGTCAACAAGAAATTAAAGAAAGAAGTAAACTAAGGACAGAAATGCTAACCAAAAACACAGAAGAAGCAAAAAGTAAATACGAAAAACAAGATTCGATTCCAATTAATTCGATTCCAATCAATTCGATTCCAATCGATTCGATGTCAATCGATTCGATGTCAATCGATTCGGTTCCAATCCATTTGATTCGATCAAGATTCAAATCAACTGGCAACCGAGATGAAAAATATTGTAGGTGAATATCAATGTGAATTCAGGCACGGTAGAAGTGCAACGAATCAAATATTTACCCTCAGAATTACAGGCAGAAGGATATGAACACAGAGTTACCGACTCTAGTATTGTTTAAAGATTTTAAATAAGCATATGATAGAGTATTTTTTTTTTTTTTTTTTATTTTTTTTTTTATTTAAATTAACGTGCATGTGACATCTATGGTCATTAGCACGAGTTACGATTTACATGGTAATATAATATAAATTACAAAATAAAATGTAGTTAACATCTAACATACAGAGAAAATAATAAAAACTTGTAATATAACATTTATATTTTGTTGAGCAGTTGACTATTCTCGAGGAATTTGATGACCTTGTTGATTTCGTCTGTGTTGTTTAGGACCTCTTTGAAGTTAGTACTGATATTGAGCTGTTGGCGTATTTTGGCATATAAAGGGCATTCGATAAGTATATGCCTGATTCGGAGAGTCGTATTGCAGTGTTGACATTTTGGTTGTGGAGATGATGTCATCAGGTAGCCATGAGTTAGACGGGTATGTCCAATACGCAGTCTCCGTATGATTGCCATATTTTTTCGAGATAAACTGGGATAGGTAAGACGGTTCACTGTAGGTTTGATTTCATGCAGCGCTGAGGTAACATTATTCCAGTGAATCTGCCACGTAGATAAATTAAGCTTCTTTAGTCTGGCTTTCAGATCATTACAAATTTGTATGTTTATAATGGTGTTCGTGGATGATGCGGCTTTTTTGGCAAGGCAATCAGCTTTTTCGTTACCACTAATACCAACATGGGATGGTACCCATATCAGAGTGATAGTTATATTTTGTTTTATAAGAAGCTGATATATGTCATGAATATCTTGGACGATAGGATGTTTGGTGGATATAGCATTAATGGAGTGTATAGATGAAAGCGAATCGGAGCATATGGCTATGTGTGTATTTGTATATCGTTGGGCATATTTAAAAGCTTGTAAGATAGCTAGTAGTTCACCAGTGTGGATACTACACCAAGGAGAGATTTTAGAGAGTTCGATAGGCTGTTGTACAGTGGTTACAGAATATCCAACCCCACCTTCAGTCTTCGACGCGTCAGTGTAAAGAACCATGTTATATTTATTTTTGTTTATAAGTTCTAGGAAGAGAATTCTTAATGTACTAATACTGGTATCTTCCTTGTTAAACTTGGTGAGTGAAATATCATGATATGGGAGTATGTTGGTCCAATAGGGATTATTGGAGAATGGTAGAGTTCTGGTTTCACACAAATTTATATCTTTTAGTAACGGTTGTAGAAGACTAGGAATAGGATGTATAATTAAGTTACATGGAGGGCTGTTTTGGGTATGATGTGATGATGTAAATAGATGATATACGGGATTGGACGGATTGGAAGAAATTGCAGCAGCATAGGAGAGAAGAAGGTTTTCTCGTCTAAGCCATAGAGGAGGTTCATTAGCTTCACAGTACAGACTTTCTGCCGGACTAGAACGGAATGCTCCAAGACATAAACGAATAGCTGTATTGTGAACTGTGTTCAGTGAATTTAATATTGATTTAGTACCAGACATATAGACGAAACATCCATAGTCTAGCTTAGAGCGGATAAGTGATCTGTAGACTTTCAGTAAAGTAGTTTCTTCCGCGCCCCAATGATAATGTGAGAGTGTTTTGAGTATATTTAACCTTTTTAGGCAAACTCCTTTAAGTTCCTGTATGTGTTGTTTCCAGGTTAATCTTGAATCAAATATCAGCCCTAATATTTTGCAATTATCAACAACCGGTAACTTGAAGTTGTTGATAGTGATTTCCGGATCAAAAGAACTCATTCTTCTGCTAAATTTAATAACTTTGGATTTAGAGTGGGAGAGGGTAAGTCCTAGAGAAGCTACTTTGTTTTGTAGGTCATTTACTCCTACTTGTAGAATTTTACTAGTAGTTGCGTTGGATTTACCATGACAGTACATTATTAGGTCATCGGCATATAATACGCATTTGATTGGTGGAGCTATATTTTCACTTAACTTGCTAATCGAAAGAATGAATAAGGATGTGCTTAAAACTGAACCTTGCGGAACTCCATCATATTGGATGTGTGGAGAAGAAAGGAAGTTATTGACAGAAACCCTGAACGATCTAGATGTTAGGAAGTTTTTGATGAATGCGTATATGTTGCCAGTAAGGTTACATTCAAAAAGTTTGTCAAGGATTGCATTTCTAGAGATGGTGTCAAATGCGCCTTCTATATCAAAGATAGTTGCTATCAAATCTTGCTTGCAATTTATTGCGTTGGAGATGTGGGTTTGGAGTATTACTAGATTATCTCTTGTGGAGCGCTGTCTTTGGTAGCCAGATTGTTCCTTTGGAATAATCTTATGTTTTTCAAAATACCACAAAAGACGTTTGTTAATCATTTTTTCCATTAGCTTACACATAGTGCATGTGAGAGAGATGGGCCTGTAAGATTGTGGAAACATAGTTGGCTGGTTTGGCTTGAGTATTGGTATAACTATAGATTTGCTCCATTGAGATGGAAATTTATGGGAACTCCAGATTATATTGTATAAATTAAGGAGTTTTTTAAGACTATAATTAGACAAGTGCTTTAGGAATGCATAAGGAATATCATCGGGTCCAGCTGCAGTGTTTCTACTATTAGCTAAGGCAGATATTAGCTCATGCATAGTGAAAGGAGAATTAAGGGATCTACTATGTTCAGATGATATCAGATGATTTCTGTGTGAATATAAGTCATGATGAGACAAAGCAATATTATTGGTTTTATTTCTGAACTTGTCTTCGAAATGTTTGGCAAAGGCGTTAGGAATAAGTTCGTGTGAAGCGATCTCTATACCATTTGTAATTAAACGAGTAATTTTATTATTAGTTTTGTGACCTTGAATTTGTCGTATTTTTTTCCAAATTTGGCTAGGATTGGAGTTTTCGTTGATAGATGATACGTAATCTTGCCAGGATGATTTTTTACTTTTTTTGACTACGTGTTTGGCCTTGGCTTTGAATTTTTTGTAATTTATTAGATTTTCAAGGCTTCTGTTTTTTTGGTACTTATTTAAAGCTTTTTTGGATAGACGAATCGCCTCTTCACAAGAAGAGTTCCACCAAGGAACTACTTTATGATTTGGAGAGAATGATGTTTTGCCAATATAAGTCTTAGCAGCTGAGAGAATAGTGTCTGTTATTGACGTTAACAAATGGTCTACATCGTTTATTATTAGATGATCATGCGCGAGCAAGAGAGTGTCAACGGCTTTTGAATACTCTGGCCAGTTAGCTTTATTTAGGCGCCAATAGCTTTTGGCAGAGGCAGTCCCATTAGAATTGTTGGAAATTATTATAGGATAATGATTGCTATCAAAGAGATCGTCAGCTGTTTGCCAGGTTAAAAAAGGTGCAGATTTAGGGTCACTAATACTAAGATCTATAGCAGAGAAAGATCCAGATGAAATATTAAAATGAGTGTTAGATCCTGTGTTAAGAAGACATGAGTTTGTGCAGTTAATAATATTTTCAACTACTTTTCCCCGTCCAAATGTGGATTGAGAACCCCACATAACGTTATGTGCATTGAAGTCTCCTGTGAGAATAAACGGCTGTGGAAGTTGGAATATAAGGTCTAGGAGCTCTTCTTCTTTTAGAGAATGGTTTGGGGGAATATATATGGAGCAGATGGTTAGTTTATTAGGGCAATATGTAGTTATGGCAATTGCCTCAAGATTCGTTATTAATGGTAGCATTGTTGAGAAGATTTCGCTGGACGCAAATATAGATGCACCTCCACTGGCTCTTAAGCAGTTCGTTCTAATGAAGTGGTATCCTTCAAAGGATTTAAGATGAGGAATATTCGTTGTATTAAAATTAGTCTCTTGGAGACAAAGAAAATCTGGATGGTAAATTGATATAAGATATTGAATGTGTTCAAGGCGCGGATAGTATCCGTCGCAGTTCCATTGT